AATAAAATAAAAATTATTTAATTGTATTTATTATTATTATTTTCCAGTTTGATCAGACAGAGAGAGAGAGAAGGAAAGCGAGAAAGCAAGCCACCAGGTCCAGGACTCGAACTATGGTTGGCCATGTGGGACTCCAGCACCTTTAACCACCACGTCACCTGCTGGCACTACGTTAAATAATTTAAAATAAAATAAAATAAAAAGAAAGAAAGAAAAAGAATTTTTTAAAAAAGAAAGCGCTCACTTTGAAGTGGAACTCACCATCCGGCACATCTGCTGTGACGTGGACATTCAAGGGAAGGGACACCTGGAGCCCCCTCCCGCACACAGTCACCCGCTGTTCTCCCCCGTAAGTGAAGTGGCTGCAGCAGCAGGAGGTGAAACGCCGAGTGAAGAGGCAGGTGCGAAGCGACCCGCAGGCGCTTTACTTCAACGACCCGCTTTGGTCCGACATGTGGTACATGGTGAGTGGGGTGCGGGCCGGTCTCTGCTCCGGGTGTTTGCAGAGCCTTCTGGAAATGGGCTCCTCACACACACACACCGACAAAGCTAACATCAGAGGACCCACTCCAGACAGATGCTCTTTATCTTGGGTGCAAAACCCTTATTTTCCGGACTCTGCAGCATCATCCTCCTTCTGAGTTTTTTCTGACATTACGTGCAAGTCCCCAGGGCAGGGGTGGGGGCTCTCTGAGTGGAGGGAAGCAATTCGATGCAGGGACGGGACTGACCGTGCTGACGACTGCTCCCTGGGCACAACCCCTACTGGGAGATGGTGTCCTTGGAACTTGCCAGGCACTGGGAGGGCAGGAGACCTGAGAGGAGTCCGCATAGTCGCGCCTCTGGACCCGGGTGGGAGAAGCCAGGGGCTCGCGGCTGTATACTGGCTCTTCCGCAAGCTCATGGAACATGCATTTTAGGAAAAGATTATGTATAGATGGTAATTTTGTTTTTTGTTATTTTTTTTAGAGAGAGAGAGATTTTTGCTATGGTGTATGTGCACTCACCAGAGAGACAGAGACAGAAAGCAAGAAATCGCCCCACAGGGGGGAAGGTCAAGCCACAGTCCCTTCTCCTCCATTCTCTTTTTCGCTTTGGATTGGGGGCATGCACATACATGTGCCCCGCATGAGTTTCAAGCCACCAGGTCCGGGACTCGAACCGTGATCAACCATGTATGAGTCCAGCAACATAACTTTTATGCCATCTGCTGATCCCTGGATGGCAGGTTTTTTTGCACCAAAATCAACTCGTACTGAGCCAGCCAGATGGTGTAGTGGTTGAGGGGGCTGGATCTCATATGACCAACTGCCCAGTTCGGGTCTTGGACCGGGCTTGAAAATCACATTGGGCACGTGTAATTTTGTGCCCAAAATTTTGAGGGGAGGATGGATGAGAAAGGATTACGGTGTGGCCATCCCCCCAGGGGATGATTTCTCACTTTCTCTTTCTCTCTGTCTCTCCCTGGCAAGCATAGACTCTCTATAGCAAATTACTTTTTTAACGATTATTTAATTTTATTTATTTATTCAAGTTTGACGAGAGAAAGAGAGAGTGAAACTGAGAAAACTGCCAGATCCTTAACTTGAACCGTGGTCGACCATGTAGGAGTCTGGCACCTTAACCACCATGCCACCTGTTGGCCTGTCAAATTATATTTTTTAAAAAATCAACTTGTACCTTCATTCCATTTCCCATGAACTGGTAAAGTTCCCTCATGTGAGGTGGAGCAGTTGTCCCCTCCTTATAGACTTGTGAGCATCGGGACCAGCAGTTGGCGTAATGGCTACATCGCTGGACTCCCATGTAGTCGACCACGGTTCGAGTCCCAGACCCGGTGGCTTAAACTCACACCGGGT